TCTTGTAAATGGGCACCCACTCTCCTTTCTTCCATTGTACAGGCCAGTAGTTATCTTGAATACATGCATTGAACATCTGGGTTAAAGATGGTGTCAATCGACCACTGATTAACTTTAATAATCTATTAGGTAGGCCATCATATCCACAACTTTTACTTACTTTTAAGTTCTCCAGAGCAAGTTGTACTTCATCTTGACGGACTTTACCAACTCTGAATTTAGGACTATTGTCTATTTCTTTGTGGTTCCTTATACTTTCGACACTTTTATAGTCATATAATTGTCCCTCGAATAATTCTAACAACTCAGGGTCGCCAATTTCACATGCGATTTCAGTAAAGTACTCAACAAAATACTCAGCTACCTTTGTTTGATCTTTTACTTCCATACCGTCCTTCTCCAAGAGTATAACACTGTCATCTACTACGCTAGCTCTGGAATCTAAAAACGGCTTGAAAACCTTAAAGAACTGTCTAGCGTCGTGATTCATCTCTTCTGTTTTTTTCTTCCAATAATACTTTAGTGATTGTCTCCTAAGCTTTGAGGCTACATTTCTACAACTCTTTTTCAGTTGCAGGTTTTCGTCTGTTGGGTTCTTTGCAAACTTTTTTGAAAATTTTCTCTTCATTCTGATCGCAGCCTTCCACTCTTCTGTCATATATGGAACGTCCTTAGCTCGCACACGCATTCTCTTTACAGGGGCATGTTCATTCAAAACGTCAGTTAATAATGAATTCCAATAATAATATTGATCGTCAATCGAATCAAATATTTCTCCAACATGCCATGGGGCTGAGTTAATATCCTCATGTAGCTTGTGCTCATCAATATTCTTATAACTCCTAAAAGTGATTACCTTACTTGGATATTGTATGGCATTCTCTTCCATAGTTGCATATACCATCTCATGATCACTAATTCCCGGGTTATACACTCCCGCCATTGCAAACAGTTCAGGTTTGTTAGTTATGATAACGTCTAACAATGTTCGACTTGTTTTAGTCACTCTTGTAGGTTCCTTAATGAGGCATTCTAAATCGTGTATCTCTTAAATGTCGCATAGGATTTTCCCTTCCTTTTCTTCTGGCTTTAGCTTGTCCATATTCAGATCACCAGTAATAACCAAAAATTGTTTTTGCAATGATGCCCACGTAATAATATCATTTAGGTCGTTCTCGAGTCTAAGATAATAATTGTTACCACTTGCCTTTGGAGGACGATATAGTCCCAGTACAATAACTTCGTGTCTACCAAATTTTGACTGCACAGCCAGTGCTTCGAAAGTGCTGAATTTTCGAGGTAATTTCAACTTCTTTGACGGGATATTTGAAGAAAAATATGCCATCAATCCACCTCCTCCTTTCACGCGATCTTTGCGATATATAGTATATCCGTTTAACATGAACTGTTCGCTAGGGTATGAGGAATCAATCTTAGTTTCTGACAAGAATATCACCTGCGCTTTAAAATTCTCAATTAAGATTTTTAATTCTTCTAACTTATTTTGTAAACTGTTTATGTTTAAATGCATAATCAATAGTCCTCTACAATCCCTTTGTCTAATTGTTAATTATCCGTGAGGGAGAATTCAAATTAGGGACGTGATTTGCATTATCGGCTTCCCCTTGCCCAACAATGTCTGAAAGTTCTACACATGAGCCAGAAATTTCCGTCGTGCTTAACAGACGTTCATAAATTGTTTTTTCCTCAAAAAGCGAGTCATCGAATGGAAAAATGCAATGTATACACCACCAGTCTTAACGCTTTCCTGCCTTTTTGTTTTTAACCGACCAGGAGAATTTTTATATACGCAATTAAAATGAAATTTACTCGAACATTGTATACATTGTTCGCTCCTTTGATTCTTTCTTATCGACTTTTCGCAAATATTACAACAAGGAGCACGCGTTTTAATCGGACCTGGGTGTATACGTGAACATCATTTGACAATAACAGGAGTATCATAAACAAATATTTGTTCGTAGGCACAGCTATAGAGTCAAATAGATTCGCCCTTCGTCGTTCGCATCTTGTCAAGTCTTGGCGTCTGCTGGTCAATCTCGCTAAAATCTCAAGACCATGCTTTACTTTACCATTTCCACGCGGCGAGGATCCTTCACTACGCGTTATTCTACCAATCTTTGAACCATTCGAGGTCTCTTGAATGAACAGGAGTGCATACAAACTTACAATATACAGAGCAAAAATAAAAGCTCTTACCGCCATGATTTTGGCGTATGGCCTTGACTTCGAATTTTGTGCTTCTTTCGAGTTTTCTGAGCCTCTATTTCGATCTTCCAACTTGAGAAAGTTGACCACAGAAATTCGACTACACAAAGCACGACTACAGAAAAGCATGCATGCATACAATATTAATCTTTTTATATTTTTTGTGTTTGTGTAATGTACTCAGCTAGATGTTTGTGATGTTACTCTGAGTATATATATAAAAATCATGATGACTAGATTACATATACAAGAACTAGACCTAGTTCCGAAAGATTTCATACTCGAACCGACTTGACCACGTAGCTCATGCAGTTGGCAGAGCATTGGGCTAGTATTCCAAAGGTTCTACCTTCGATTCTTACCGTGGACAGGCATATTTTTCAAGCCTGCCTGGTGTGGATATACACTCAGAGTAACATCACAAGCATATTAATCTCTTTGTTTGCTAAAAACATTTTTAAACAACAAAGAGGTTAACATTGTATGCATCATATTTTTGCCATGCTTAATATTTAGTAATTAGTCGGCTTTTTCGTTGGTATTGTACACGAGACATGCTGGAAAAGGAAGCCCTTACTGTTTTTAGAACAATTGATAAACAAAAGTGAGAGCACTTCATTTACAAAATGAACGGAATATATTATATCTCCCTCCCTATACAGGGTGTATAAAAAAAACGCAACCTCGGAATTTCCTAAGAAATCACTTCGCAATTCTAATAGATCATACTATTCAAACTGGCAAAATGTTCCGCGGGAACTGATTGAGTACTAAAATGTGTATAAGGGGTGTGTTTATTGAATAATTGATGAAGAGAAATGCATAAAAGACTGGATCGCCGGTAATACAGCTTGTTTTGTGCTGATCGCCGCGGGGAAAAGTGTTTATACAAAGAGATTAATTTTTGCCCATGTTCTCGTCGTTCAACGTCTATGGCTCCGAGACCTGTTAGGCCTCTTGTTCCTGTGGAAGACCCAGAGGGTGGCCAACACGATCCTGTTCTTCCTCAGCCGGTTGCTCACGTTGATGTGGTTCCCGACGCTGTTGGTCCTGCTCAGGCCATAGGAAGCCCAAACAATAGGGTTTTATTCAATAAAATCCGTAATTAAAACGTTAATTAGCAATAAAATTGCTGTTAGAATCGTGCACGTAGCGTGCTCCGGTCGCGCTGTGATTTGACTATATAATTAGTGACGTATCCTACTATGTTATTGGGAAGGACGGAAAGTATTCCTCATTTGTCTATGTATTGACAAATTTAAAAGACAAATTACTGTAGGGAAACGGCACGTTATCTGCTAAATGTATATCGTAGGTTTACGTTGAATAATCAAACTATATTATTATCATAAAATTAGTGTGGAATCTAAAGGAAAGCACTGGAAAAAACGGGCAAAAGTTTCGTAAATTTACTTTACTCAACTAATATCTCAAGGTAGGTGTTTTTACACTATAATTTTCTCATCAAAGTTGACCTGAAATATATGGGAAACCTTTTACCTGACAGTTTTTTGCAGAATAAAAGTAAAACAAGGCCACATTTATCACTTTGCCTCGGTTTTTGACATAACACTAGTATGAAACACGACTGGGGGCCTTCAATTTATAAATTATAATGTACATTTCATATAGTCATACAAAGTTATGAACTAACCATAAGAAATTGTTGACGTTCCTTTTGTATGTATATTCCTGGTTTTGTTTTTGCCATTTTTTGACGGCTGTTCGCCGGTATAAAACTACAAGTAGGAATATACTTTAATATGAAAAAAACGTGAAAACGTTGCAGCAATTTGCGTAAAAAATATATATTTGTACTGTGCCTGAAAAAGTCTTTCTCTTTTGTCACTTTACATAATGATAGCTAGCTCTCGTCAATATTTTTGAATTTAAAATGAAATAAAAATATTTTTCGTAATATTATTTACAATTTTTCGTATTTTTTTATTTTCCCGTTCTTGTTCGATCAAAAAAATAGGTGCCTTCTCTCCCCCCGGTTTTATCAAAATCTCTCGCACTTTGTTTACTTTTCTCGACCAATCAGATGCGTCTGTCGCCGCCATTTTGGGTATGTACTTACATCCCGCATATATTCACGAATATTTCGGTAAATTTACGAAACTTTTGCCCGTTTTTTCCAGTGCTTTCCTTTAGATTCCACACTAATTTTATGATAATAATATAGTTTGATTATTCAACGTAAACCTACGATATACATTTAGCAGATAACGTGCCGTTTTCCTACAGTAATTTGTCTTTTAAATTTGTCAATACATAGACAAATGAGGAATACTTTCCGTCCTTCCCAATAACATAGTAGGATACGTCACTAATTATATAGTCAAATCACAGCGCGACCGGAGCACGCTACGTGCACGATTCTAACAGCAATTTTATTGCTAATTAACGTTTTAATTACGGATTTTATTGAATAAAACCCGCTTGTTTGGGCTTCCTATGGCTCAGGCACCGAATTTAGCGGTGCTTTTCTAAGTCTATTTAGTGCTATTTGTTTTGGTATTGTGCCTTGGGTTTTCTGGTTCCGACTTGCGTTCCGCCCTCAGTTGTGTTATTGTCTAGTCGCCCAACTGGCGAATCAATACCACTGTCGGTGGTTTAGGGGACGACTTTACTCGCATCTTAGGTTTTGTTATCGCGTAGTTTTATCATTTGTGTCAGTTCGGCCATATGTCGCATGCTTACAACTTAATAGCCTTCGGGACGGTGTATTGTTTAGCTCAGTATTCAGTATTATTTTCATGTTTACGTGGGTGGCATTTTATGTTTGGCGCGTTGGTAGAGTCGATTTTAGTTATCGTTTGTGGGGTGGAATTTGTAGTTTTATTTTGGCCGTAGCTCTCGCTTATCGACATAATGTTACGGGTGTACGTATGTTTAGCATTTCCGATTCGTCGCTCTTTTCATAGCCCCGTGTATTACCATATGTAATATTCTCGTTCATGCCTGTGTGGCATGCGATTTTAGTTCAAGCCTGTGTGGCATGCGATTTTAGTTCAAGCCTGTGGCATAGGATTCTCGTTCAAGCTTGTGTGGCATAAAGCCTGTGTGGCATAGGATTTTAGTTCAAGCATGTGTGGCATCAGATTTTGTTCAAGCCTGTATGGCATAAAGCCTGTGTGGCGTAAAATTTTAGTTCAAGCCTGTGTGGCAAAAGCCTGTGTGGCATAGGATTTTCGTTCAAGCCTGTGTGGCATAGGATTTAGTTCAAGCCTGTGTGGCATAAAGCCTGTGTGGCTTAGGATTTTAGTTCAAGCATGTGTGGCATAGGATTTAGTTCAAGCCTGTGTGGCAAAAGCCTGTGAGGCATAGAATTTTCGTTCAAGCCTGTGTGGCATAGGATTTAGTTCAAGCCTGTGTGGCATAAAGCCTGTGTGGCATAGGATTTTAGTTCATACATGTGTGGCATAAAGCCTGTGTGGCGTAAAATTTTAGTTCAAGCCTGTGTGGCATAGGATTTTCGTTCAAGCCTGTGTGGCATAGGATTTAGTTCAAGCCTGTGTGGCATAAAGCCTGTGGCTTAGGATTTTAGTTCAAGCCTGTGTGGCATCAGATTTTGTTCAAGCCTGTATGGCATAAAGCCTGTGTGGCGTACAATTTTAGTTAAAGCCTGTAAACAACGTTCAATTTTACTATATATTTAATAACATTTAAACACATATCACAATAAAACGGCCGGTTCGGCACTGGCGCTTGCTTTGTTATATTTTCGCCATGTCTGGAGGCGTGAACTCAAACAAGAAGGCGGGTTGTGGGCGTGCCACACTAGCTTCTGATTGGCGCGTTGTCTCTACGTCATTACTATCATTTATAATGTTAATATAAACCTGAACCGTTCGATACACTCCCGAGGGTTGATATTTGTACTAATATAAATATTAATAAACTTAAATCACGTTATTGTGTCACACAGTATCTTTACGATTGTTCTGACTTCGTAGGAAGTATTTAGTAACAACTGTACTCCATGCGTTCGCCTTCAGCGGTTCCTTTGAAGAGGCATCCTCTTTCGTCTCTTCCGTCGTAGGATCCCTCGCGTGCGTTTCGTTCTTCTGTTTGCAACTCGCCGGAATTTCTAGAGGAACAAGGTGTTGTATGAGACTTCGTAACCATGTTGATTTTCCATTCTCTTGATTAACTAC